CAGAGTACTCCTTTTAATTTATTTTACATCATAGCGAAGCAATAACATACAGCAAGTGTATATATATATATATATATATATATATATATATATATATATATATATATATATATATATATATATATATATATATATATATATATATATATATATATATATATATAGTATATATATATATATATATATATATATATATATATATATATATATATATATATATATATATATATATATATATATATATATATATATATATATATATATATATATTTATATACATATATACGTCACCGCCAATGTGAATCGTTTTTAAATGTACCAACTTAAGAACACAACAAAACTAAACACAAGCACAAAAGAAACACCAGCACAAACACAACACAAACACAACACAACACAAACACAAAACAAAACAACATAACACAAAAACAACACAACACAACACAACACAACACAAACACAACACAAACGCAACACAAACACAACACAAGCAAAACAGAAACTCAACTCAAACACAACACAAACACAAACGCAACACAAACGCAACACAAACACAACACAAACACAACACAACACAAACACAACACAACACAAACACAACACAAACGCAACACAAACACAACACAAGCAAAACAGAAACTCAACTCAAACACAACACAAACACAAACGCAACACAAACGCAACACAAACACAACACAAACACAACACAACACAAACACAACACAAACACAACACAAACACAACACAGACACAACACAAACACAACACAAACACAACACAAACACAACACAAACACAACAAAAACACAACACAAACACAAACACAAACACAAACACAACACAAACACAACACAAACACAAACACAACACAACACAAACACAAAAACAACATAAACACAACATAAACCAACAAAAACACAAACACAACACAACATATACACAACACAAACACAAACCAGGACGGCTAGTAGTATATAAAATGGAATATCTTCTTGTAGTTTGGTGCAGGTGTATATAAAAGATTTTTCTAATGCGACCAACAAAATAGAATTCCCATCCGTGCTAAAAAGGACAGACGAAAACGAATACGCAAAAAAGACATAATTAATAACCTGCGGGAATTCCCGTTCCCGAATAAAGAGGTCTTTTGTTACTTCAACTGGCTTTGATTAAAAATAATAATAAGCAAACAGTACGTTCAGTGTATAAAATAAATAAAAGGCAGTATTTAAAATACTTACAAAAGTACACTTGATCAATCCCCGCTAACTATGTATTTTTTTCCCAACACCAAAACAAAGTAATAAAAAGTATATTCCCCCCCCCCCCATCCATAACTCCTGAGGTCGTAGAAATACCCGCGATGGTCACTTTACAGTAGGCGTTATCTTCGGGAAAATTCCTGAACGGCTTTAGTACTGAACGGTTCAAATTCCCTATATAAACATTACTAATTTGGTGAAATACGATTATTATTTTCAGAACAATTTATCTGAACTTTGGCTCTGAACATCTGGCTCATTTTTTTTATAGAGCTGTAAAAATGAATCGGCCTTTTTGATAAATTATCGTTCAGCCTATTCTCGCACGGCGAGTGCTAAAAATAGACCACTAGTGAAATTCTCCTTACATAAGCTATATATATAAAAAAATTGCCGAACTTTCCCCCGATATTTTGTGATGTCGTTGACCTTTTCTGGAGGGGACCAAAAACCTTATTCCCGTTAGAAAAAAACATTATGGTCGTCAAATTTTTCCAGATGCCGTATTTTCTTATGTAAGCATAGAAACTGTTTTTGAAAAAATGTAAACAAAAACTACGTCATTCATACACTTACAAGGGAAGTAGCTTATTAAAATATATTTATCAAATAATTTTATACTTTTTTAAACACAAACAGAAAAAGACGGAGAATTGCATTCATTTCAGTAAAATCTGTGTTATAAATTAATAAATGTATACTAATAAAATTATAGAAATTAATTTTAAAAGTCAATGTGTAATATAAAATTTGAGTTATACTATTCATGGAACCTCTGTAGTTCGAATTAACTTTTTTTAAATTCTTAATAAAGGGACATTACAATCTTTAACTGTTTGATTTGGCCTGTGATTCTATGTATTTCTATTAGAAATATTGTGTGTGTGTGTGTGTGTGTTTTAATCACATTTTATACATTGTAAGTACTTTTTCCTTTTTTTTTTTAAAATTTCTTTTTTGTGTTCCAAACTCCGGGTGGGCCTCACGCACAACTATGTAAGAAAAATTCATTAAACGGCTATTCTTGCCTAAGTTTGGCTTGGCAGGACTTGTGCCAAAAACTGTAGATATTTTTTATAGAAGAGGGCTTTGCTTTGGCTACCATAACAGCTGACGAACTAAAAAGAGAGGTATGTATGTTATGTAGCCTATCTTTAGCTAAACTTGAAGGTCTGTATAACTACGGGACACTGCGTAAATGGTATGTCACCAATAGATTTAAGGAATTATATGAGAAAATGCACCAAAAAGAATTTCACAGATATTTGCCCCCTGGGGTAACATCCAGATACATAGTACAGAAAATATCAATAACCCACGCGGATAAATCTGGTCAAAGGGGCATGCTGAAATGGCTGCCTTCCAAGACAAGCAACGATGATAGAATGGCAATTCTAAAATCTATAAGCAGACAGGACTCTACACCAAAATTTAAGAGAATAGACCAGGGGTCTCCAAACTTCAGTCCGAGGGCCGCATTAACTATCAAATTTCTGTTCGGGGGCCAGTTTCTTCCAGGCATGTCTTTGATTTTTCTGAGCAAAGTTCCTCAGCCATCACCAACAAACGTTTTCTCCGTGGACAAAAAGTTCTCCGCGGGCCGGACGAGAGGACCTCGCGGGCCGCATCCGGCCCGCGGGCCGTAGTTTGGAGACCCCTGGAATAGACCAATCAGCATTGGGACAGCTATGATATTGACGGAGAAAGACAAAATAAAATGCTTAGAGAAGCAAGGCGTAGAGAGGTAGAAGATGCCTTTGGAATAGATGTCCAAACTGAAACACATCATACTACTGCAACATCACAACAAGTTAACGAGAGCGTAACAGAAACCACCGTAGACGCCAAGCATGGAGACAATAGCGACAAGATAATTCCAGAGTAAAAGATGGGGATCAAGAAAAAATGCTAAAATAAATTTGAAAAACAGCTCACAAAGTCCTATATCAGCAACAAATGTATCAGATCAACTGTCATATAGTCAAGGAATAAGTTCAAATAAAAAACAATTACCCACAGTAATTACCCACGTCACAATGGGATAGAAAACCAGCGGCTGGAAAGTTTGGCGTTAAAAGACCACCACCATCCAGCCCTCCAGAAACAGATGTTCGAAAGATAACCTCAAACAGTACACGCTAATTCTTGCAAAATTGAACATCAGGGGGGGGGCAAGGGACAAAACACATTACATAAACAACAAAATAAATATCCAAAAAATTGACATTTTACTTTTACAGGAAACTAACATTGGAACTACAGAAGAAGCAAACAAACTAGATGCATACATCGTTATCAATAACTCACTGCACAGTACTGGTTTCAACTGCAGAGGAACCAGTATACTTTGTGCATCAGACAAACACAAAATTAAAAGTACATACACGGATAAACAGGGCAGGATAGCCCGGAATATTTAAAAAAAGAAAAAACAATCATCAATATATAAATGTTTTTAAAGTGCACAATCTGAATGGTGGAAAGAGAGACACACCTCACCCCCCCCCCCCTCCGAACACACACACTTCCCCCCACTTAACCAGACTGGTCGATATATCAAGTTAGCGTGCCCTCATCGCCAGGGGTCAAATTAGTGTCAATGAAAAATTTTTGAATGATAGATCAGTATGAGTATTACAGAGACCCTCCTCCCACGGTCGTTTCTATTTCTGTCCATGGGTGGCTGCAATGTGAGCTTTTTACTACGCAGCTAAGTATGGAGCACAGAAAACAAACAGTCAAGAGAAATCAAGTTTGCACAACTTAATTTAGTCTAATTCTTAGGCCATTTTATTTTCTCGATTTAATTACTATATATGCAATTGATGTTCATGTTTTTTGATGCTGTGTAAAACTTTTTAACAAATTATTATTACTTTTTATAATGTTTAAAACAAATGAATTTTTTTAAAAGTTTGAGGACTGCTATAGATATAGAAGTTTGAACGTTTGCTTTGATGTGTCTCATTGTAATAACATAACTTTTCCGTTTGCTTAAAATTTGTATCATTTTAATACTTTGTAATCCCAAATTTATTTCAGCTCTACGTAAAATTCCGAATCCCCACGCCCACCCCCACCACTCAGCCCACCACGCCAATGGAAAAAAAAACTTGAATCATCATTTAAATACACATTTGCATTTTCATGTTTTTTAATTGATTTTTTTTATATTTAGAAGTTTTGTATTAGATCTATGTATATGTAAACTATTTTAAATGAATGAAAGTCGTCTACAAGTAAGAAAGAAGTATTTCTATTGTAAATCTGAATCAGTCCTCACAAGTCGATGATGACAACTGTGTTACTAAAGCGAACATGCAAGGCAAACTGTCGCTGTAAATTACATGCCTGAGGCGAAAAAAAAGGACAAATATATATTTAGTTTAATGGATTCTACATATACCTGGTAAGTTGCTACCTGTAACTGGTGTAAACCTCTAATAAACGTTTCTACCTATAAAAAAAAAAATAAAAATAAAAATAGCCATATTCTAATTAATTAGGCTTTCATATTCTCAAAAGTTTTTTTTTAAAACCTAAGCGAAGCCAGGCAGTATGCCTAGTATATATATATATATATATATATATATATATATATATATATATATATATATATATATATATATATATATATATATATATATATATATATATATATATAACCTTGATAATACGTTCTTTAAATAATCTAAAATAACAACGAAGAATTATTTTTTTGTTTTAATATAATCATTTCTGGCCGCTCTAACATATTATATCGACCAAATGTCTGAATTTTTGTGTTTAGGTTATAGGTACGGATATCAGCGAGGACAAAGTTGGTGAACTGCCAAAGGATGTAAGGAATTTGGAGACTGCAGTGTCATACGCTGAAGATTTGTACTTTCTGGAATCTGGGTCTGTTGATCTGGTTACCATAGCAACAGGCCTGCACTGGGTGAACCAGGAAAAGTAAGCTGCTACTGTGGCAGACATGTTTGCAGTTGTAAATCTTGTTATAATGGGTGGGAAATTACAAATATTTTACACATAAAACAGAAACCTTCTAAAAAAATTATAGTTTCAATCAGATGTTTTTTCCGATTAAATGTGACTGCTAAAATGTATTTCGGTGAGACAGAGAGGGGGAGGGGGTTTAAAAGTTGAGACGGTATTAAATATATTTCTCTGTACACTTTTTTATGTTTGAATCCAATATAATTTCGCAGTTAAAAAAAATGTAAAACTTTTACGTACATAACAACAATTCCAGATTTTTTGCTGAGGTAAGGCGTGTGTTAAAGCCAGGTGGAACTTTTGCCGCCTACAGCTACTTCTTTGACAAACTATCCAACCACGAGGCAGAAGCGTATATGAAAGATGTAAGTCAATGTAGGCATATCATTATCTAGTAGCTAACTGAGAATGGAAAATCCTTTGATAAACATGAGCATTTTCGATCTGTAGACTCGCTTAAGGCCAAAATAATTATAATTTTGAAAAATGTGTATATGTATTTATTTAAGATTTGAGAATTTCAATTACTTCTTTTTCAAACTATCCTTAGGTGCGACAGAACGTGTTTGGCAAATATTTGACTTCAAGACTAGACATTATAGATAGTAAATATGGGGCAACACAATTTCCATTTATTCAAATTAAAAGGTATATACGTTTATGTATAATGTTCTGATACACAACAATCTACGGCAGTAAACAGTTGTTTATGGTTGAGTGTTTAGTGGTTTATTAACCAATAAAACATTTTCGATTCGGTGAAGATTTTAATGCGTAGAGGCAAAATGTGCAACAGAAAATTGTGCACAGAAAGTACGCGAGGGAATTTATTTTTTGAATCGATAATATAAAGACTTTAACAAACAATGTCCATATTACAATCTAGAATGATCAAACCTTTCCCCTCGAAATGTGAGACAGTCAGAGATTATATTGTTACATGAATTTATTTTTTATTAGCGCAGATTTTATTTTCGCATTTTTCCGGGAAAAGTGTAATTTGTTAGAAAATGACTAAAATAAATGCGTTGTTCTTTTCTATAAATTAAAATTCATTTTGTCCACAGATATGACGGCATTAAGATTACATCAGAGATGCCACTAAAACAATACGTAGGATACATCGCGTCGTATCATGACGTTAACCTGTATTTAAGGGAATTCCCGAAATCAAATATATTGGAGGAAATTGAGAAGTCGTAAGCAATCAGCAAAATTTGTATAGAAAAATCTTAAGTTTTCGGTTTCCGTAAACCAGATAGCTATTCAAAAGTATTGTTTTATAGGTGCACAATATATAAAGATGCTGAATGAGATATCAAATAGTTTTATGGACTATTGTATTTTACATTCACAGTCTGGCTTTGAGATTTGGATACAGTGACACAGAAGACAACATCCGTGTCGGGACGCAGTGGAATGTGTTCATGGTTTTAGGGAGAAACGAGTAACTAAGCTTTTGTTGATTAGTTAGTGATCATTTTTCGATCTTCAAATAGGTGTAAATGGTGTGTTTTTTTTTATTTTTAGTTTAAAGAATCCTAGAAATATAGAGTTTTGTCTGTTGTACTTAAGTATTTTGTGAATCTTAAAAATATTAAAATTATTGATGGTTTGTGGATCTTCAAGTAAAGAAGGTGTAATTTTTCTTTAAAAATGTTGCAACAATACGATTTGTATCTGTTCAATGCATGAGGAATTTCTGATACAACAATTATCATTTTTGACTTCAGTCATTGAAACCACAAATTAAAAAAAAAACATAATAAAAGATCGTCTGAAATTACATAAATTTAACCTAATACTAGACATTTTAACATTTACAACGTCTTGTCAACAAAAAAAATTCACAAAAAACAACTACATATAGCATAAAGAGTAACATTTTTCTTTTTGTGCCCTAAAACAAAAGGCGGCAACCAGAAGAAATTCTTTCCCATTTTGTTGGCCTCCGCGGATTTTTCTGTCTACCAAAATTGGCATGCCGTTGCAACCTACTTCCACGCGTTTGCCGCCACGCCCCAGTTAATAAAATAATATTTGCGGAATAAATAACTAGTATTTTGTGGTCATTATTTTTCCATTTTACTACTACTATATTCAACTATATATTTCTGTTGTCATATTTTGACATAAATATTTATTTGATTACATAACTAGAAAAATAAAATTGTAATATATTATGATATATTGGAAAAATGTATTTTAATTAGGACTTCAAGTGTGTTATTGATCCAAAAATTTGTTTTAATTTTTATTCCTCTTTCAAACAATTAATTTAACTCATAAGATTGCCCAAGAATAGATTTGAAAATAAATACAGTTATTATTTTTTATTGTATTTGCTTTAGTTAAATCATTAATATCATTAAATCGATCAAAATCTCAAAGTAAAAAAAAAATGTATTCACCCTGATTAATATATAATAACAAAGCATTAAAACTTTAAACAATTCTGTGGGTTTAAATTTTTTTCTTTAATTGGTGAAAAATCAACCTATCTAAAGACTCGACTAGTTTTTAGAACAAATGATGTGTAAAAAAATATTTCATTTTTATCATACGCTTAGATAATTTAAATAAAACGGAAGATCTGCACTAATCTGTTTTCAGCAATCGAAAATAGCGTAAAGTAATACTTTCGTTCCCCCGAAATGTTTTCAAATTTGATAAATGCCAAAGAATAATTTTAGGCAAATATCTAAATTTTCGGTATTTTATAACATAGAAATAGAGGCAATCCAAATATAAGATATTGCACTTATATACACACTACATGGAACATTACTCAAGTTATAGTCTACACATGAAAATAGAGTAAAATAAAAGTTGATAATATACTAAAAAAAATTATATAATACCTAGTAGGCATGAAATTTCGACAATCTATGTGAAACGGTACAGAAGTTATCATGTCTGCAGACAGACAGAAACACACACGGACAAATTTACAAAAAAAACCCACAGATTTTCCGACTTAATTACGAGTGAAAACCGAGATTTTAATAAATCTGGATTAAGCATTTTTTCTCGATTTAAATAAGTCCCCATTAATTAGTTTATGATTTACTTAGGTGTAAAAATGTAAAAAAAGATGCATAAATTTTTTTTAATAACAAGCTGTTAAGTAATAATGAACTTAAAAGGAGAAATTAAATCAATTAAATGTAAACATATAATAATACCCAAGTATTTGAATAACTATTTTTAAAAAGCGTGTGTTCAATATTATCTATTTAATACTTTCCCTAATTATTACGAATTTGTGTTTACAATAGAGTTGTATGACTAAAAACATTGAGCAAAAATAAGCATGAAAATGCGCGTATAATAGTGAGGAATTATAGTAGGTTACAGTACTTAGTGTAGAAAACATTAATGAATTCAACAAAAATTAATTAGGCATACAATTCCGTCAAATTTGATGTCAAATTGCATTGTCAACGGGTCTTAACCTACGCGCCAAGTTTGAAACGAATGAGTCATTTAGAAAAGCTCGAAATATTTAATTCATCAGTTTCGATCTATGACGACCGACAAAATTATGACAGAAAGAGGAAGCTAGTTAAATGAAAGCTTGTAAAAACTGTCAAAATTTTATATGATTCGTGTTCACATTTACAGTACTTTTTATATACTCAGTACAAAATAAACCTGGAGTGATCTCCCCTAAACTTTCTCGAATATTCTTATATAAAACAACAGGGGTTGGGAACTCCAAAATACTCAAAGTTTTTAGAATAGAATAAAATCTCGTAGAAAAAAGAATTGCTCACCAAGTGAACGCCAAATGAATGTGCATAATAGTGCATTAATATTAATATTATTAGTTCTTTATAAATTTACATGCCTTTTTTTGAGAAATCGGAAATAGCGTAAATTAGTACTTCCGGTCAACTGAAATTACTCAAAATTTGCAGGAACGTAGAGAATTAGATTTTTTACTTGCATGTGAAATTTCATTTATCTATCTGAAATAGTACTCAAGTTATAGGCTTTTGAAAAATTCAAAGTAGAAAAAGTACCACTTCCGGTTATCGGAAATCGATCAAAAGTTGATCAGGATCTACGATTTTGATAAAATACTTATTTATTAAATTTCATCAACCTAGCTGTAATGGTACTCAAGTTATCGTGTTTACACACAGACAGACAGACACACATACACACAGACAGACACACAGACATACGGACAAGATTGCAAAATTTTGTTTTTCCGTATCAGTGAGGTGTAAAACGTCGAGAATTGTAAAAATCTCGATTTTTTTTTGCATGATTACAAGACTTTCTTTATATGAGAAAGTAAAAAGTAAAAAGAAGAATTACAAGGGCGGCTATCTTAAAAAGAATAACACAGTTGATGTATTATTAGTCGCCTCCCTTTAAAAGTCTAATTATTTGCTTTTTAATATAAAGCGGTATTTTTTTAAAAATACATTATTTTCAGCGTCGAAAAAAATAGTATTAATATGTTAATTAAGTAATGCGTATATTGTATTTATTCAAGTTTGATGATGCTTAAAACTAAAACTATTATAGTTAAATACCAAAAATTATAAGCATAGACTGTTAAAACCAAAAAAAGCATAAATTTACAAACTGTCTGTCCGTCCGTCCGTCCGTCCGTCCGTCCGTCCGTCCGTCCGTCCGTCCGTCCGTCCGTCCGTCCGTCCGTCCGTCCGTCCGTCCGTCCGTCCGTCCGTCCGTCCGTCCGTCCGTCCGTCCGTCTGTCTGTCTGTCTGTCTGTCTGTCTGTCTGTCTGTCTGTCTGTCTGTCTGTCTGTCTGTCTGTCTGTCTGTCTGTCTGTCTGTCTGTCTGTCTGTCTGTCTGTCTGTCTGTCTGTCTGTCTGTCTGTCTGTCTGTCTGTCTGTCTGTCTGTCTGTCTGTCTGTCTGTCTGTCTGTCTGTCTGTCTGTCTGTCTGTCTGTCTGTCTGTCTGTCTGTCTGTCTGTCTGTCTGTCTGTCTGTCTGTCTGTCTGTCTGTCTGTCTGTCTGTCTGTCTGTCTGTCTGTCTGTCTGTCTGTCTGTCTGTCTGTCTGTCTGTCTGTCTGTCTGTCTGTCTGTCTGTCTGTCTGTCTGTCTGTCTGTCTGTCTGTCTGTCTGTCTGTCTGTCTGTCTGTCTGTCTGTCTGTCTGTCTGTCTGTCTGTCTGTCTGTCTGTCTGTCTGTCTGTCTGTCTGTCTGTCTGTCTGTCTGTCTGTCTGTCTGTCTGTCTGTCTGTCTGTCTGTCTCTCTGTCTGTCTGTCTGTCTCTCTGTCTCTCTGTCTCTCTGTCTCTCTGTCTCTCTGTCTCTCTGTCTGTCTCTCTGTCTGTCTGTCTGTCTCTCTGTCTGTCTCTCTGTCTCTCTGTCTCTCTGTCTCTCTGTCTCTCTGTCTCTGTCTCTCTGTCTCTCTGTCTCTCTGTCTCTCTGTCTCTGTGTCTCTCTGTATCTCTGTCTCTCAGTCTGTCTCTCTGTTTCTATGGATAGGAGCAAAGAGTCTGGCAACACCCAATAACAAATTATTTCCTGTAAACACACACGTACACAAGATACACGTGCGTAATAATATGCACGAACAATTACTCTTAAAGGTACATCTTCGCAAACACATTTTCGTGCACCTGAACCAGGAATACTTCCGCGTAGATTGACGTAATGTATATGTAATATGTCTGCTGTATCACATGACGTTATATGTCGGAAACAGGTGCTGTAAAACCTTTTTACTTATAGGCCTACATTCTTTGTGTCAAAGTTGCCCGACATCATGTCATGGTATGGTGACATTGTTACAATTAGCATGTTGAATATTTTAATCTAAGCTGTTACGCTTGTTCAAAGGTGCGTGTGGAAGCTTATAAGTGCGTTCTCTTATAAATATATATATATAAATAAATATATATATATATATATATATATATATATATATATATATATATATATATATATATATATATATATATATGCTGCGTTGTTATCGAAGGTAGACAGAATATAAAACAGTTTTGTTAAACCTACACGTATTTCGAAAAAAGGATATTTAATTGTACAGTGTTTATATTTTTACAGGTACATTATTTCTAAGAGCAGTAAATCATTGTTAAAAAAATTTCTTCTGACAAGTAAGCCTTAAAACAACTTTTTAATTGGTCGAAATAATATAAGTTTAAATTTGCGGTTATAAATGTTAAAACAATTTGCCTGTATATTTGATTTTATTTTATGAAAAAAATAATTATATATATATATATATATATATATATATATATATATATATATATATATATATATATATATATATATATATTTATATATAGTATATACTTAGAATATACTTATTAGATGTAAAAATAATATGCTCAGAATTGATAAAAATAATCAATACCAACTTAAAAATAGAGTTCAATCGAAATTCAATCTTAAATTTATCCGAAATGTGACATGCTTTATCTGGTTGTAAAACGTTAGCCACTTCTACCCCAACTTGTCATTAGTCCCCAGGTCAATTACCTCCTACCAAATATCAATTTTTATGCGTGATTTAATCTTTACACCTCTTTTAAAACTGTTTAATATAAGTTTTTAAAAAAATTTTCTCTTATCTGCATGTTATTATTATCCACTACTTTTGTGTGCAATCAGATAGTTTGGGAAATTAAAAGTTCCATTTCTAAATCTGTTTTATCCCTTTATTAATTAGATATTGTTGAGCTGTAAACTTGTTTCTTTTCATTAATTTTCGCACCCATTTGAAAACTATTTAGTATACATTTTAATGGAATTTTTTTAAATAATTTTTTTTTTAAATTTGTGTGTGTATTTAAAGAAAGGGTAAAATAAAAGTTTTAATTATTTTCGCTGCTGCGTCATGTTTAATAATTTAAATAGAGAAGTAAAAATGTTCAATTTTTAACCCTTAATGTGACATTTCTAAGAATCTGTATTTTTCTGGGTGCCTACGACACTAGAGTTATCTCCATTCTAAATATCAAGGTTATATCTCATCTGCAACTAGTCGATGTTATTCAAATACTTTAAAAGGGTTTAGGTTATATAAGGCCGCGGTCTGTCTAGGTTTACTCTGTTTTGTTAGATGTTGTCAACCCAAGCGGAACGCGTGCCTTGTTATCTTTACTTATAAAGCATACCTCATTCAGTCGTAGCCTTGAAACTAACTCTTCTAGGTGATGCATTGTTGCCATTGTAAACAAGAGATCTATATGATTTGCACGGCTTTGCGCTCTTATCAGTTTTACTAGGAATATCGATACATGTCGTTGTCCTTCAAGAGAAGAAGTACGTTTTGGCAACAGTCAAAGGTAGGCTACAGCCCACTTCTACTAATTATAAACCCATCCTGTTTTAACTGATCAGTTAGCTGATCTAATGTTTTAATAGTCCTGTAGACTTCGTTCTGCCTCCTCTTGT